TAAATACATTTTCATAATAGAATACTGTAACAATGGTGTACTATTCATCAATGTACTTTTATATAGTTTTTCTTATTCATCAAAATAAAATTGAAAATCCTTTTTAACTAGATTTTCTATGTTCATCTTGGCCGAACTGATTGTCTGATATGATGTTACACAACACATCATCAAATGGGACCCAAAGAGAAAAAATAGTTTCCTGTTGAACAGTCATAAATGCACTTTCAAAATAGATTACAGCAACTATTGCATATTTCTTCCACTACAGTTGCAGATCGTTTTTCATTTTCCCAGTTTTCATTTTCTTATGTTGGGCCATAAACCATGAGGAAGTTTTAGACATTGAAAACCAATGCCCATCTTTGATCACTGGAGAAGAGGAGGCAGCTTTATTCATCGAACAGCTTTGACTAGTTTTTAGTCATTTTACCAGAAATATGTTTGACTTGGAGATTAAGTATTTTTATTTATAAACTCTTATATTTTGAACAGAAGTTGTGGTGAATTTATTCCATATATGTGCAGAATTAGCAGTTTTATCATAATTTGAGCTTGATTCACTTTTTCTTTTTTTGTTCACAAACAATAGATTACAGTTTGAATAATGTCTGATTAAATAAGATATTTACCACCCATACTGGGGTGGGAAATAAATGTATTTAAATTTCACGGACACCTATGAACCACAGACGGTAACAACTAAGTTTTTTTTTTTTTTTAACAATGTTTTAGTTTCTTTTGCTTCACAAAATGAAATTGAAATTGTGTTTTTATGTCAATACTAGCCTCACTGATTGTCTGATTTAGGGGTGTAAATAATAATCGTTTTGTATCGATGCATCGATCCAACAGCTGACTATCCGATGCATCGATACGTCTGCAAGGGTATCGATTCATGTTTTTTTTTCCTCCGGTCTATTTTTATCCATTAGCAGGTCAAACACACAAATACAAATACTGTTACTAGATTACATAAATGACGCACATCTTTTAAACTTAATTTGAAGTATTTTCATATTTTTAAAGATTTTTTTTGTCAAAGTTTAGCTTTTTTTCCTAAATAGCTTCTATGTTATGTGAACCAGTGACTCAAAATCTGTATTTATTTTTCTTCTAGCCTGGACATATGAAGCACATATGTCCAGGCTTCCATTTCCATTTTAAGCCTTTTCTTATTTTAGCCTTTAGTAGTAACCCTTTAATAGCAAAACTATTGTTCTTCCTCAGTACCTTTGGTTTATATGAACCACTGAATCTGTTTAAAGCTATTCTACTAGATGAGTCAGAGGAGACACCCTTCATGCATTTTTTTTTAAACCATGAAGACAAAAAAAATAACGCTAAAATTTGAATGAAAAAATCCTCAAAAATAAGAAAAGGCTTAAATGGAATAAAAATGTCTGTTGGCCACAAGACAATTTCTTTCTTTTTATTTCTCAACATTGTTTAGTTCAGAAGTTTTTCAGCAAACCTTTAAAGAACCACCATTGTTGAGAAGAGGGAGCAACATAGAGCGGCTGGCTGGTCTCTGAGCTCCAGAATTGGATCAACTGTGAGACAGATGCTGCTAACTCTGCGGAGCATTAAAGGGGTCATAGAATGATTCTATAGGGTATTTGGTGCTGGTCCTTAAGGTCTCTGAATAGGGTGTGTAACACTGGTTGGGCTGAAAATGGCATATTTGCTGTTCTATGAGGTCTAGTGCAAGCCTGGTTAAAAGCCCTAGAATGAAACGAAAGGTTTTCCTCCTTTTATGGTATGCTTATGAATGTTTAGACGAGCTGTGCACTGATTGGTTTGTTTACAATGAGCGAAGCTGCTGAGCAAAGACGCATCATAGCAACAAGCACTCACTAACTGAAACATCATTTTGTTGATAAGGTAAGGTGACTAGAAATTCTCTTTTTCCCGGACATGTCCTACTTTTCACACCTAAAAAAATGACAGGAGGGAATTTCAAAATCGTCTGTGATTTTGGTCAACTACAGTGCAGCACGTTGTTGAAACACACCAGGCATTCGAACAGAGCCGTCAGCTCCGGGGCTGATCCTGGAACTCCGGTGGATGGGGGCAGGGAGCCAGCCAGTGATGGAGCGACCAAACCCGACCCGGTCACGGAAGCCTGGACACAGGCGGCCCCGTGCTTCCCCCCTCCTGCCTTACTGGCCCCCAGCCCCCCTCCTCTGCTGAGGACGGTCGGCTCATGGCTCTCTGCTGAGGTCCGATACAGTCAGCAGCCAAGCAGTCAACACTTCATACCCCCCTCTCCCTTGGGCCAGTGAACCAATAGGCTGGTCTGTATGTCAAGTTCAAGGTGTGACAAAAGTACAGGCCAGAATCAAATAAGGCAACATCCCCAAGTTTGTGTAAACTCTGGGGTTCGTTTGGATTTGCCTCTTTTATGGTCTAAGTTTTGAAATGTGAGATTTGAAGAAAAAGGAGGTGTCGATGGCGTTTGAACTTCACTGTACATCCATTTCACCCACGGAACTATTGTTATTCATCTATCACAATGTAAACCATGTTTCAAAAACAATGACCCCTTTAATAAGCTGGCTTCAAACTAACATCCCTGCAGCCATTCATCACACTTTTCTGAAGCAACCTTTGAGTTCACAAAGTTTTTGTTTGCCGCACATCCCACACAGATCCAGATCCAGACACACAGATCCAGATCCAGACACAGAGAGTTAGATCCGGACACACAGAGTTAGATCCAGACACACAGAGATAATACAGACACACAGAGTTAGATCCAGACACACAGAGTTAGATCCAGACACACAGAGTTAATACAGACACACAGAGTTAGATCCAGACGCAAAGAGTTAGATCCAGACACACAGAGATAATACAGACACACATAGTTAGATCCAGACACACAGAGTTAATACAGACACACAGAGTTAGATCCAGACACACAGAGTTAGATCCAGACACACTGAGATAATACAGACACACAGAGTTAGATCCAGACACACAGAGTTAGATCCAGACACACTGAGATAATACAGACACACAGAGTTAATACAGACACACAGAGTTAGATCCAGACACACAGAGTTAGATCCAGACACACTGAGATAATAAAGACACACAGAGTT